TGAGTTCCCACACCCAGAAGGTCCAGAGCCTGTAGGAGTGAAGTAAGGGTAATGAACACCCAGGGGCAATCTCTAAGTTTTGCTCCCCCCTCAATTTCAAGATGAATAGCTGTGGATAGTGGTGACGTCAGCAGAAAAGCCTTCCCCCGACTCTTGCCTGGCAACCTCAGTCAAGCGCCTTTCATATACGTAGGGCCTCAGAATCTCATTCTGTGCCTTCTCTGGTGCTCCCTCGGGCTCATGCCTGGAGTCAAGTGTGCCCCTCTGTCTTCCCTCACCATGCCACCGACAGCCTAACTAGCTGGGGTCATACATTTTGGGGGCCCTATTCCCCAGGGGCACCTCTGGAACCACTTCCTTCTATTGCCCCCATACCAAATCAGAACTCAAGCCAGCTAGTCTAACCTTAGAATCAAGGCCTCCATCTGGGGACCTCTCTGATGGCACAGGCTGGCAAGGCCTTGATCATCTGTCCTCATTCACTCTGTGTCCAGCAGTAAAGACCACCCCCACCCCACCCCCACTTCCAGCCTAAGGCTAAGTGGCTCTCTACAAATCACCTGCTCCACAATCTCCTATAGAAACAGGGAAACGGAGCCCCAGAGGAGACAGAAACCAAGCCTGAATTGAATTTACCAAACCCAAAGTCCTAAAATCAGATTAACTCTTGCCCCTTCCACCACAAATAAGATGATTGACTCAGGGAGGTGAAGTGACCCCCAAGGTCACACAGTGAGGGTTAGACTCCTGCCCAACTGGATCTCCTCCCGGCTACCCTCTCACAATGACATAGCACAGGAGACCCAGGCAGGAGAGTGAGGTCAAGTTGGGAACCATTCAGTCCTGGTGTAGAAAGGGCTGAATAATCTAATAACCAGGCCCAAGGGGGTGTAGAAAGCTTAGCCTCAGAGAACAAAGGACCTGAGTTCCAGTCCTGCTTTGGACACTTCCTAGCTATTTGACCTTGCAAAAGTAGATTCTCGCTTTAAGCCTCAGTTTCCTCTTCTGTTCAATGGGGCTAATATCTACCCCACAGGATGATTATAGAGACTCAGTGAGAGGACATTAGGAAAGCACCTGCCACTTGGTACACAATCAAAACATGGCCCCCCTACCCCTGCCTATGACCCTTTTGAGCCCCATATACTTGGAATCCAGGCAGCCTATGGTGTGAGGGGAGATGGACAGTGAGGGAGGGCCATAGGAGCTTTCTCCAAAGGGGAAGGGGAAGAGCCACGAGACAGGAAGTCAGAGGAGATAGGTCCCCACTATGCAGCTTCCTGTGGCCATAGGAACCTCAGGTTCTCATCCATACTCCCCAACAAGAGACCTTGGCCACTGCTCTAGCTTCCAGCCTCCTCATGGCCCCTGCCCACCTGGCCCACTCCTGTTGTAGGCTTAGGCTCACATGAAATCCCAGTCCTGCTTCCATCAGCTGCCTGTGGACACCTGCCCCATGCAGGAGGCACTGAGCTGGTGGTCACCTGGAACTCCTAGAACACATCTCTCCACCAGGACCTGAGAATCTCTGAGGAGTATCCAGGTTTCCTCCTCTGCCTCTCTCATAAGCTGGTCAAACAGGGCTGGGCATGCAGTGATATGAGGAGGAGCTGAGCACATAAGCATGAAAGGCAGGGCTGGGCAGGACCTGTCATCTCTTGTGTCCCTAGTTCCTCATCTCTGTCCCATGGGCCTGAGCACAGCCACTGAGATCAGAGACTTATAGAGCCAGAAGGGCCTAATGCTACAGTTGAAGAAATGGCTCAGAGAGGGGCAGGGACTTGTCCAAGGTCATTCATACTACAAGAGGATTTCACAGTCAGGAAAATATGATCTTCTACCTAGCCTCTTCCCTTGCTGGCCCTGGCTGAATGACAGAACCTCCTGGTTTCCCTTTTCTCACCCCATTACAGGAGCTGGGGTGAAGCCTGGCCTGGGCATTGAAAGATCTGGGTTCCAAGCCACCCTCTGGCCTTATACCCAGCATCCATGTTCAGCAGGAGGTTGTATCTGCTACTTCTTCAGTACCCAGAGCATAGTGCAGGCCTGAGGCCAGGCTAGGCTGGAGGCCAGGAGGGAGGGAAAAGGTGGAGGTGGCTTCCAACAACCCCTTCTCTCTGTCCTGGCTCTAAGCCCTGGGCCCAGAGCCACAGTGGTTTCCAGGGACCTCTGGACCTAGGGATAGGGAGATGAGATATCTGGGGAAAAGGAGATGAGAAGAGGGCATCAACCAGGTAGACAGATAGGTGGAACCCCACCCCCACCCTAGGATCACGTGCACAGGGCATGTCCAGGGGCAGCTGGGTATCCCAACTCAGGGGTATGCCCTGGGGCAGGAGAGAAGCTAGAGTGGCTGGCAGAAGCTCAGCAAACACCTGCAGTTGAATCCCAGCCTCTTGGAATGACCCAATCATCACATGACCTTGGCAAGCCACTCCCCTTTCTGGACTTTCTCATCTATCAAACAAGGATGGGATGATGAGAACACTGCGTCCTTCAAAGAGTTATTGATGGGACTAAATGCTGTAATGCTGGCTACCGATATAGGACTATGCAGAGAGGGGCAGGGGCTCTGGAGCTAGATTGACTCGGTTTCCACTCCTGGCTTAGCCACTGCTTGACCTCAGGTAAATGATATCACCTCTCTGAGCCTCAGTTTCTTCATTTGTAACATGAAGACATGTTACTACTATTGCTCAGGGCTTGCCTGAAGATAAATTAGATGATAGAGGAAAATGTTTGGCTCAGAGCAGGGGCTCTGTTACCAGAAATGCAATTAGCTGCACGGAACTTTGGAATCCTGGCACGAGGATGAGGAGGTCAGAGACCTCTGCCCATCTCCCAGAGCTCTGGCTGGCTGTGCTGGGAGAATTGGGAGTTGGGGGATGGCCCTTTGGGATGCCCATAACCTGCTCCCTGGGCCCCAGCTCTGCTTATCTTGTCTCCAACCTTCCCGCCTTCCATTGTGCAAAAGCAAAACTAGAGGGCAGCAATGGGGAGACATGTAAAGCAGAAGGGAAGGACTAGGCTTGGAGGCTGGAGATCTGGCTTCCAGGCCTGGGTCTGATGGGATTGAGCTGTGTGTTCCTGGGTGGCCTCTTCCCCTTTCTGGGCTTCAGTACATCTCAGGGAAGGGGAGTGGGTATGAAACATGGATTGCAAAGGACTCTTTGGACCCTCCAACCTCTGCTCAGTCTGAGAGGAAGATCACTTGAGGAGTCTAATTTGGCCTCAAGAGGCCTACTGTGGCAGCCTGGCCCCCAGACTCACCAAATCCAGTTCTAGCCTGGGCTGGCTTATTCATTAACCAAGCCAGATGCAGGCAGAACTCTGCCCTCTGTTGACACAGAGGGTGGGGGTACTGGACCCGGTCAGGCCTTTCCCTCCCCTCCCTTCTGGAGAACCAGCTCAATGAGAAAACTACCACTTCCCCATCCTATTGTGCACTGCCAGCCCTAAACCTTTCCCAGGTCACAGTCAGGCTCTCCTGTAACAACCTTGCTCACCTTTCATTTATTTGTTCCTTCTCTCATTCATTCCTTCAACCAACATGCCCTGCTCTGTGCCCAAGGTTCTGCATTTGATACTAGGGATGCAAAGAGGGATAAAACCTGTCCCTGCCCTCAGGGATATACCAGCTGCCTCCTTCCCTACTCCTCAGGCTCAGGTATGAGTCAGGCCCCTGGGACTCCCCTTGTCCAGGGCCCTGGGTAGCATAGGAAGTGGCCCAGGGCTCTCAGGCATGTGCAGAGGGACTGGGAGACACACACAGACACCTGGCTAGACACTAGAGAGAAAGTAGAATCACAGCAGGAAGAAAAGAAGGCAGAAAGGATGGGCCAGAAGGTCACATAGGGCAGACGGACAAAGCATTAAAATACCAAGATAGAGTGATATAGAAAGGCACAGGAGGATCAGAGGAGAAAGGTCAGATGCCTAAGATCCTGGCCTGAGGCCGAAATGACCCAGCTAGGTCTGAAACCATGTTCCAGGCAGGAGGGGCCAGGGGCCAGAGGGCAGCATGGGGTAGGAAGAGAGGCTTATCTGAGCCTAGTGCTCTGCCCCACTTGCAACAGGAATGTACTCCTTTCACACACACGAGGAGGGCAACAAAATAAGGCAAAGGAAAAGGAGATGAAATACACAGGCGACAGACAGCCTACTGCCAGAAGCCCACTGAGGGGAGACCTGCCCACCTCCAAAATTTAGCACTCATAGAAATGTTAGTGTGTTAGGGGAGCTACTGAGGCTCCACCACCTCTATTCCATCCAGTTCCCCAAACCCCGCAAGACTGCCTGTGACAGTGAAGAGAGATGGAGAATTGTGGACTGTGAGGCAGGGGGCTGGCTCCTGTGAGGGGGCTAATGTATCTGCATCGGCCCTCTGTGCTGGTCGTCTTGACTTCAAGCCCCTTCCTGGTACAGTCCACCCTCAGTCTGGCTTGAGGAGGCAGGGACATCCAAGCCCTGCCTTCAGAATCTACCAGCCACAGCATGAGTCCTTGTAGGAAACTCAGGGAACAGCCAAGGAGGGAAGAGGGAAGAACAAGGCATGAGGCCAGATGGATTCAGACCCCTGGCACCCAAAGGTGTCGAGACTGGGGGAAAAAAGACCCAGCTCAGGCTGGAAGAATTAGTAATTTGGGAAAGAAGGGCTTAGTAGGAGACTTCCACCTGGATTAACTCAAGTCAGGGACTAGGTGAAGGCCTGCAAGTAGAAAGGTCCCCAAAAGAGACTACTTTCCTAGATGGGTCTCAAAGCAGCCCACTTCCCTGGAGCTGGCATGCCTGGATTCTGGGTGAGTTAGCCAGGGTGAGTCACATGCCCTGTCCAGGACTCAGTTGGCCCATTTGTGTGATAGGGACCTGGCCCAGAAAACTGCTTCCTTCTGATCCCTGGCTCTTTCTAGGCCCAGATGCTCTGAGGAAGGACCAGGACGTTCTGTGTCAGAGGCAGTATAGGTGCAATGGGGGCAACACCTATCACAGGGCACCCCTACCTTGATTTTGTGTAGTGACCTGTCCATCTCCACAGCCTGCACCCACACAGCCACACCGGCCTTGCTGTAGGTGAGGTTCCAGCCCACCTCGGCCTCACACTCTGACCGGAAGCTGCGGAAGTCCTGGTCGTCGGGCACCTGGACGCTGTCCCGGCCCAGGACTGGCCGAGGCCCTTGGGGCTCTGTTGAGGCAGCTGTCTTCTCCATAGAGAATGTAAGGAGGCCCAGGGCCCTGGTCTTAGTCCAGCTCTCCTGGTCCTCCGCGGAGGCTCTAACAACGTCGACGCGGCTGCAGATGCTGACGCCACCTTCCTGGGACCTGCAAGACCGGTTTGGGGACAGGAGTCAGTGCGCTGGGGGCGCGGGTGGGGCTTTCCGGGGTCCAGAGCGGACCACGAGTTAAGATGAGCGAAACTAGCCCCCGGGTGAGGCCGGCAGGCACGGGACAATCACGAGGTCCACCCCCCAAGGAGCGACCCCAGACTTCCCTGGGCTTGTGTGGGGGCTGCGTATCAGGTACAGGGGACCCGCGCAAGACCGTAAGGACCCGAGTGAGGGTCAGGACCCGATGTGACAGTCGGTCTAGAGGGGCCCCGCGCAGTGGTGGCCGGCCGGCTCAACTAACTCGGCAGCGGCGCCGGCGCGATCTGCGCCCGGGTGAGTGGTGGGGGCGGGGTGGGGTGCCAACCGGGCTGGCCCGCTCACCTGTGCCCGCTGCTCCTCCGGGACCCGCCCGGGCCGGGGGTGCGAGCGCCGCCGCCGCTGCTGCCGGGGCGACCGGGGGCCGCGCGGGGGCTCTGGGGGGGAGGAGCAGTGGGTCCCGCCGCCCGGCCCTGCCCCGTGCCCCCCGCCCCGCGCGCCCCCTCTCTCCTTCCCACCCTCCGGACTCAGCTCGGGGGCTCCGGGAGATCCGCTCGCCTCAGCTGGGTATTTTCCAGGCTGCGGAGGTGAAGCGGATAGAGCTCACAGCCCCGCCCCGTCCCGCCCCGCCCCGCCGGGTCCTAGCGCCCGCCCCCGACAGGCATGGTGGGGAGACCTGGTCCTGGGGCGACCCGTCCTCAGGCAGGGGTTGGGGGCGGGGTGGAGGAAAGGACAAGATTGAGTGGACTCTGGGAGGCGGGGTGAGGAGGAAGTGGAAGAGGGATTCTGGAAGTTAATTGCGAACTCCTTTTCTCCACCCACAGGTAGCTCCTCTGCAACAACCTACTTAGACACAGGCCTGCAGTCCCCAGAGCAATCAAGAGACACCTACACACAACACCCAAGAGACTCAAAGATGAGCACACATCCCCCCACGATAATCAACAGACTAACTCCAAGAAGGACAACTCAATAGCAACTTCAAGATACCCACACCAAACCTACACACACACAACCCAATTCCCTGTGAGGTGTGCAAACTCAGCTGGAACTTGATCCAACCCGCAAGCCTCAAGGTTCACAAACTGGCCAGACTTTGGCAAAATCTCCTTTCTGGTCTCACTCCCAGCTGGGATCTTTAGTCAGTTCCTCCTCTGACCCCAGACTTTTGGCCTTGTTCACCTTCCCCCCAATACACATACATAAAGATGTCCCATGGACTAGGCTTCTAGTGCCTAGAGCTCTGGGGCTCCCCTGTCCCTCCCCAGAAATACAGGTAAAACTGGCCAGAGCCCCACAGCCACAGAGAGATGTGTCCACCGGCACTCCAGCTACCCCTTCCAGCCAGTGAGGCTGCCCCACCTGCCCCCTGAGTCCTCAATCTCCATCTACTTTGTGTGACCTGAGACCAGCAGTTCAACTTCTTCAAGGCTGGGGCAGTAAGAGTGTGGCAGAGGGCCCAAGGCTGAGCATTCACTCACCCCAATGAGATGCCTTCCAACCCTATAGAGGCTGGCTCTGGGCCACAGGGATGCAGGGAGAGTCTGTGGTGAGGTCTCCTGGAGGGGTAGCTAATAGAGCCCAGGGAGTGGCTACCACTTGCCCAGTGTCACAAAGCGAGGACCTCTGGCCATTCTGACCAGAACCCAGGTCTCAGCCTCTTCCCAGCCCAGGGTTCCTTTCTATGCTCTGGCTGCCCCTGTCCTCTCTGGGCTTTAGTATCCCAGCTGTAGAATGAAGGAATCAGAACTTAGAACCCTAAGATACTTCCTAACCTCAACAACCTAGAGCTCTGGGATAGAATAGCTTTTCTTAAAGGTGCTAAGAGAAAAATAAGGAGTTGTCATGGTGGGTTCACAAATAGAGGTGTTTCTTCATGAACTGTTCAAGGCTCTGAGATGTTTGTGAATCAGGCCCAATTTTAAAAATGAGTGGGGGTGAACAGGAAGTGTGATGGCAAGTGACTCCAAGGGGCGTTGTGCAAAGTGAATTCTATAAAATGAGTTTCAGGTCCCCATGAAGCCTGTGTGATGACTTTAGGACCTTAGATCGCTAGGCCTCCCATCTGCAGATAGATAATGAATGACCCCACTCCCTCTACGTGTCTGGGAGTGAGTGGCAGGGAGGCTGGCTCCTGGCTCAGGAAGCCAGGGCTCTGGCTCTCAGGCACCCACCTTCCCTGCCTCTGCCTCAACTCCATTCTGTGTGTGACTCTAGGCAGATCACTGCCCCTTCCTTGGCCTCAGAGGCCTATCTAACAGCTCCCCTCCTCGGCTGGGGAAGACCCAAAGCCTGCTCTGCAAGCTGTAGCCTCTGGAATCTGCCATGAGGATAAGAGATGGAAACACTGGTCTTGATGGCTCCTACCTTCTTAGGGCCCCAGTACCACAGCATCCCAGCAGAGATCAGCACCAGGGCAGTGAAACAACCCCACCAACCACCACCACCACTCAGCCCCATGCTCACCACCCAGTACAAAGTAAAAGAGATAAGGCTGGGGTGAAAGCAAGAGATAGCAGTGATGGCAAAAACTGACAGGACTTCCGCATCCTAAAAAGTTACCAGTCTCAGGAGGAAGACACTACACAGACCCAGAGCCAGGGTGGTATAGACAGCAGGAGCCAAACCCATCACTCAAATCCAAACATAGATTAGCCAAGAATGAATATTTTGGGTCTTGAATCAGGCTCAGATGGCCATAGTGTGGGCTCAGCCTGGGTCCTGAGTTCAGGCCAGGCTGGCTGGCCAATAGGTGGGCAGAAGAGTACCACTCCTTATCCTATTCATTAATGTGTCTTGCAAGGGCCCCTTAGGAATCTAGATTTCTCCAGCTAAGGGGCTCATGATAGCCTCCTCAAAATGACTAGTCAAAGCAGATTCATATCCTGATTGAAAATACTCCTGAGCAGCAAAGAGAAGAGCCCCATCTGCTCAAGGGCAGAAGAGTGAGTCCAGAAGGGCTTGGAGGTGGGGCTGGGGGAAGAGTGTGGAGAGGAGGTTCAAGGACTCAGCCACCTGGGCTTCCCACAGACTGGCAGAGCAAAGGGCATGTGGACATAGTCTCAAATCCTGGCTTCACCATCCTGGCTTCACCATTTCCTAGCTATGTGATCAACAGTAGGTGACATGTCCTTTCTTAGTCTCAGATTCCTGGAATCTGGAATACTCTCTGAGAATTACTGCAATGAAAAGAGTTACACATGTGTTGGTTTTACCTTCTGATTGTAACCAAAAATATAACTGGAGAGGGAGCAGGGAGGAATACACTGTCCAAAAATGGCACATTTTCAACAAAAAACTTTAAGGTAACATCTTGACATGATGGTTGTTAAGATGTTTCTGAGAGATTAAATAGTGGACAAGGCTGGCAAAAGGTGAGCCCTGCTCTGCACACTACACTGACTGCTCTATCCCCAGCTCCCCTCCACAGGAGGTAGATCAAGGTGCATCTCTGGGCCCCCAGGGCAGCACTCAGGTCTAGATCCTCTCTGGGTCCCAGCCCTAGAACAGGGCATCACTGAGCAGGAGTCAGAGTGGGTGTGGAAGGTGAGACCATGTACAAAAAGGTGCTTAGTAAACTGAGAAGCATCAGGAGAATGTGAGGAATCATTACCCAGGGCATTGATCAAGCGAGTGCTAGGTCTTAAAAATGTCCTTCCAGAGAGCAGCTGAGGCCATAGGAGGCACAGGGATGCCCCTGGATCACACAGCAAGTCCAACCCCATATGAAGACCTCTAGTACTTGTGACTCCTTGAATAGGGGACCTCATGTTAGACTCTGTTTGATGCCCCCTGATGACCACTGGAGCAGGGATTAGGGCACCTGCCTAAAACCACTCCATGACCTGGTCTCATTGCTACCTCATCCCCCACGATGTGTTCCCAGTAGAACTAAAGACCCTCAGACTGACATCAGCTGACCTCATCCCCTCATTGTCTATCTAGATAGGGAAACAAAGGCCCAGGGAGCAGGGACAAAGTAGAGATAAGAACCCTGTCCCAGCTCCTAGCTGAGGCTTTGTTCCTGTTCTCCCCTTACATATGTACTTCTTCCACTAGTCTATTGGTGATTTTGGCCCAATCACCACCCTCTCTAAGCCTCAAGATTCAGCACTGTCTTGGGTCCCAGTGCCCCTACCCTGCCCAGGGGTCCCCAACTCTTGACTTGCTCCTAGATGGCTAAGCAAAGGGGGTGCCCATTCCTACTCACCATCTAGTCAGACAGACTTCTGGAAGATGAGAAGAACCACCCCCCCGCCCCTTCTCCCCTACTACCCCCTCCTCAGGGGTAACCCTGCTTGAACCTGGGTGAAGCAAATTCCCAGGTTGCCAAGGGCAACAAGGCAAGGGCCTGGGAACACTGTTCTAGAAGACTGGGTGATGACCTGTGTGATGTCACCAGGAAGCAGAAGAGTGGATAATTGGTTCCAAAGGCTCCTCTGGAAGGTCCAGAACAGAGCACTCCAAGGCCTTTAGGCTTGGCTTGGCCTTGAGTCGGATTGCTGGTGGCAATATGCTCTACATCCCGTCCCATCTGGAGGCGGATCTAAATGTTTGCCCAGGGCGGTTCTTATACCCTGCTGGGCCTCACTGAGCAAACAGTCCAAACCCTGCCCTGAGGGAGCTGCTAGAGCCTAAGGGAGTCACATAGTGGTGCAGAGCCAAGCAGTGAGAATCATTCCTGGTGACCCACGTCCTCACTCCTCCTGGAGACAGTGTTGCAGCCACACACCATCACATTAACATCCTGACAGTCCCAAACAGCCACACACAATCTCAGTCACACAATCTCAGTCTCTCATACACAGCCAAATCTGCACAGGTAGGCACTCTGGGTCACACCAGCTCACACACAGGACCAGATTAGGGTTGCCATATAAAATAGAAGATTCCTGGCTAAATTTAAATTTCAGATAAACAATAAATAATTGCTCAATATATATATGTATGTCCCAAATATTTGCTAAATATGGCAACGTTATATCCAAGGCACCACTTCACCCATATCACAAGGCCTCAAGGCACCACACAGTCACACACCAGTTCCCACACAGACTGCAGTCACTCACTATACCATGGGAATGTATACTCACGAAGTCACAGTGGTGTATAAGTTAGTGTGCATGCGCAAACACACACACACACACACATACACACACATACACAACTCTGCACACTCTCTCTGTGAAGAGGACCTGAACCAGATTAACAGCGTTTCATGCTCCTTTTGTTTGATCTTAACAACACCCTCAGTTGGAAAGTTAGGCAAAGACTATTATATCCTCATTTGACACATGAGGAAACTAAGGCCCAGTAAGGGACAGAACCTACCCATGGCAGCCCAGCATGTAGTCCCCCTGGGTATGGGGTAGAAGGAAAAGTCTTGTTATGTCTGGGCCAGGCTGTGTTCTGGGGCATGACCAAGCTTCACAAGCAGGCCCCCAGCCCTCAGGCCAGCACAGCCTCTCAGGAGTCTCTTCTTTTCAGATATAATGATAGCTTAGGGGTGGTGCGTACCCTGACCCCCTCCCACCACCTTAAGGATGATCCTGAGCTCTCCCCAAAAGCCCTGACAGATCAAAGGAGGTGGAAATTGTTTTTTGTCAGGGCAGTGAGGGCTCAGCTTTGAGACTAAAACATAAGACACCCCCAAAAAAGGGAAGTTATATGGACTGCTGGAAGAGAAGCAATCCCAGGGCTGGAGTTCCGGTCCAACAATTTACCTTATCCTTCTGGAAGATACACAAAGACATCCCCTCAACACCACCCCTGAGCATAGCAACAAAGGGAGGGGCTGGAGTCTGGCAGATGAATGAGGAAGCTCTGACAGGAAACTTGGAGGGCTTTGGGAGGCTGCCTCAACCCAGCAATCAAACTAGGTTCCTACAGGTGGCAGTGCCCAATAGTTATCAGGAGGACGAGGTGTCCAGCCTGTAGTGGTAGGAGGGTAGCCAGCTGGGTTTTGGGCCTCCCAGAGTGGGGGGTCTCCATGGTTCTTCTCTGGGCCCTGCCACCTTGGGTAAAACCCTGCCCCACTCTAGGCCTCAGTTTTCTTGTCAAAGTACTGCTGTTTAAGATGCTTTCCCTATCAGGCTGAGGCAGGAGGGCTCTGTAAATTGTGAGGTCCTGTGTGGTGGTGGGGGCCTGTTGTTAGCCATCTCCCTCCCACAGAGCCTATAGGAACCGTAGGCAACAGGACCCTGCAAGGTCCAGAGAGCAAATTCCAGGACTCTAGGTGCAGGGACTGGAGGATAGGAAGGGAAGACGGGGAAAGGAGGCAGGACAGATGGGGCAAGGCTCCACCACCCTGCTCAGCAGCCTAGTATAATGGTTAAGAGCTTGGATACAGAGTCATACTGTCTGGGTTAGACCTTCTTACTTAATACGTGCTCTATAACATGTTACTTAACCCTTCTTTCTCAATTGTACCATTTCTAAAATGGGTAGACTAACAGGACTTACATCATTAAAATGGGGATTAAATGAGTTCATGTATGTGGAGTGCTTAGCACACAGCCTGGCACACAATGAGTGCTCAATAAATACCACAGCTACTATCAGTTTTTGTCTCCTGAGCCTCCTCATTCTCAGGTCTGGCATCTGTCCCCAAGACATAGCCTCTTTCCTACATCCTTGCTACTTGACCTAGAGGTAGTGCCTTCCTCTTTTCCAGACCTGGAGGAAAAGCAGCAGCCTGGGTCAACCTGGAACCTGGGTGGTTGGGGGTGAAGCAGAGGTGGGCATAATGACATCTTGTCTCCCTCCCTCATCCCCATTTCCAAGCAAAGTTGTAAATACCCTGGATGGGTCCCCTTTGGAAGGCCTTCACTCAAGGAGTATTAGCTCCTTGCATCCACAGAACCCCCTTCTCAGTGTCTGACAAGTGGATACTAGGACAGCAGCAGGGCAGAGGGAGCCTGAGCAAGAGGGCAGGACAGCACCGAGATGCCAGGGGCTGGTTCCCAAGACCATGTGAGAGGCTGGTGGGCGGGCTCAGGGGGGGTCTCTCTGGGACTGCGGCTGAGGGGTCTGCCCTGAGTCAAGGTCTATTCTGGGATCAAATTCCACATGTACAACAGGCCCGGAACGGCCTCCATGGGGCACTGCTATGCAGGGGACTCCTGCCAATGACTGCCCCCGGCCTGAGGGCCCGGTGCCCTGGATCATTGGGCATCTCCATGGTGTTCCTCAGGGGAGGCTACCTCCTTCAGCACCTTCTAAATTTAGGTCTTGGGCTCTGTGACTCATTCCTGCTTTGCTCCCCTCCTCCAGGAGTGTGCTCCCACAGTATTTTTATCTTCTGCTGCCTCAGACTGATTAATAAGACTCCAGAATCCTGCAGCAGCCACACACACTAAAGAAAGCTCCCTGGTCCCGCTGGCCCCAGGTTAGCTCTAGGTTTCTCTCTGACCAGGTGCTATACTTCCCAAGAATCCCCAACCAGACCTCTCCCACATGGCTCTGAGCAGGACTGTAGTGGCAGACAGTAAGGAGAAATGAAGCTAAGCCCTACCCCCTCCAAGTCCACTGCTGGGCAGAGCCCCAGCAGAAAGTCAGGAGACATGAGTTCTGGGCCTGGCTTACCTCCAGCTTGCTGTGGAGTTCTCAGTGAGTTCATGGCCCCTCTGTGCCTCTCTTTCCTCCTCTGGAAATCAAAGATTTGAACCAGGCCTCCATTAAAGAGGCTTGGACTAGAACAGAAATTACCACTGGGCCAGATACGGCAATGTTTAAATTGAACAAGATTAATATGGAGCTTTAGGTTATGAAGTTAAAACACATATTCATCTCCCAGAAGTTCTACTCTGTCTATACTATTACAGGCCAAGGGTGGGGTATTTGATGTGGGGACCCTGTCTCCCACCCAGGCTCTGCCCCCTGCTGGTTCAAGGGCCACTCAGCCCAGGCTCCAGCTGTCAGCCTTCTTGGACCTCTACCCTGTAGGGAGGCTCACAAAAGTCCCTATACCCTGAAGTGTTTGGAAAGAGGCCAGGTTATGGTTCTGTTCTGACTGTCCAGGGCCCTAACGTATAGTTTAGGGCAAGAATCAACTTAACTCTGGGCCTCAGGTTGTGGGGAAGGGAATCATGTACACAAGGAGGTGTAAACATTTAAGACCTCTCTTTCCCACCATGTTCCCAGGGTCAGTGGAGGAGATGGGGGATGTCCTACCTCCCCCAGTTTGACTATCGCAAACACAGGAATTCAGGGCATGGTATGGATGTATCTGGGATATGGACAGACTTATGTCTGTTACATCTTCACCACTGCCTGGCTCTAGGAGAGCTCTGTTTGCAGTTTGCCCTCAATCTGTGACAGATTTATTGAGTACTTACCACGTGCCTGGCACTGTTCTATGTACTTAACAGGTCTTAACTCATTGAATTCATAGTTAAATCTCACAACAGTCCTGGGTAAGGATTACTACCTCCATTGTATAGACAACTAATTAGAAGCTCAGAGAGTGTAATGACTTGCCCAAGGTCACAATGGTAAGCCCCTGGGAGAACTGGTTAAAAGCCAGATTTCACTGCAATCCTAGCTTTTTGGTGCCCAAGGTAGCTCTTCACAGGGTATACATTAGACACTTAATAAATGTTTGATGAAGATGTTTGATCACTGTCATGTAATGGAAAGATCCCTATCCTAGCCCAGTTTTACCTCAACCTTCCTGTGTATCCTTAAGATAGTCTTGGTTTCTTTAGCCTCAGTTCTCCCTGATGAAAGGTGGAGACGATAAGTGAAGGTCCAGAGAATTAGACATTGGAGGTAGGGAGAATGTTGGATTTTCATTTCTATAAACACTTGCCTCTAATTATTTGTTTAAGGTGGGCCTATCTATAGCCAGACCTCAGGGTCTCCTAGGACCAAAGGCCTCTAACAGCACTCCAAGGAGAAACAGCTGGGTACTGGCTAGCTGTACTCTTACAAGGAGTAGGAAAAAGTTCACTTCCCTAGTGGGTAGCTGCATGGGCCTGGGGGTGGCACTCTGCCGCTCCACCTTGCTAGGGGTGATGCTCCTACAGCCTCAGTTCAGTATGCACCACTTCCTCCCCTTATCACCCAGATCAGCACAGGTATCCTCTCTAGCTGCCAATGGCTCTGACTGGAGTCACCTGAGTGCTCAGTTCCCCGCAGGCTCAGAAACAAAGCCAGTGCCCTCCTACTCCTTTGAATTCAGGAGCTATCCACTTATGCTCTCCCTCATCTGTCACACCTGGGCCCTTTCCCTTACCTGGGCCATTGTCCTGAGAAGCAGGGTCTGTACGACTCCAGGAACACTATTCTCTTTCTCCATGATTCTCCAGATCCTCCTCAGCATCTTGCCTCTGGTAGTCATCCCAACAGAGCAGAGCCCTCCTCCATCTAGGCCCCAAACCAAACACCAAACACACTGCCATGGAGTCGATTCCAACTCACAGCGACCCCCATTAGGTTTTCAAGGCAATAAATCTTTACAGAAGTAGATTGCCCATCTTCCTTCTGCAGAGCGGCTGGTGGTTTGAACTGCCAACCTTCTGGTTAGCAATCAAATGCCTTAGGCACTGCACCACCAGAACTATTTTCATGTACAACAGAAGGAAGCACTGCTGGGTCCTGTGCCATCCTCACAATTGTTGCCTTGCTTGAGGCCATCATGGCAGCCATGTGTCAACCCATCTCGTTTAGAGTCTTCCTCTTTTTTGCTGACCCTCTACTCAGCATGATATCCTTCTCTAGGGAATGGTCCCTCTGACAACGTGACCAAAGTATGAGAGAGGAAGTCTGGCCATTGTTGCTTCTAAGGAGCACTCCAACCGTACTCCTCCAAGACAGATTTTTTTCATTCTTCTAGCAGTCCATGGTACATTCAATAGGCCCAGGCATGACAGAATTTGCAGTATGGAACTCCTCCAGGCCCTCAGGGTACAGACTATCAGCCTGTATCTAACAAAGAGGCTGATCCTTGAGCTGCAGGGAGGAGTCCAGGCCCAAAGGCCAAAGAGCTGGGTTTTAGCCGTTGCTTAGAATGCTGAGACCTGGGGTAAATCCTTGCCTTTCTTGGAGCTCTTTTCTGCAATTTGAACAATGAGGCGATTAGTTTCTCCATATGCAATCACCTAACTATAATAGAGGCGCTCTGGTAGCGTAGTGCCTATGGCATTTGCCTGCTTAACCAGAAGGCTGGCGGTTCAAACCCACCAGCCACTCCTTGGAAGGAACGTTGGGCAATCTACTTCTGTAGTGATACTGCCTGGGAAACCCAAGGAGGGGTTGCTATGAGTCGGGTCAAACTTGATGGCACATAACAACAACAGCTATAATAAACTTTTGGATTTATAGGACTGCTTGGGAACTTAGTTTTCACCCCTCGATCTCATTTGCTCCTCCCACCAACCTATTTCCATTTATAATGAGTAAGCTTAAGTCTCCAAGGGAAAAGAATTACCAAAGGTCACACAGCAAGTCAGAAGCAGAGCCCAGGCTAGAATTCTTAAATCCTGATGCCTCTGGTCCTTTACACTTTATGACACTAGGATTCTGGGTGTGTCACTTTCTCTGATCCTTTGTCATATTTGTAAAAACAAAAAACAAAAAACTACTGTTAAATCTTAGTAAGAGAGGCAACGAAGAGGGGTTTACAAACCACAAAAGAGCAACAGAAAGATGATGGGGCCGTTACATTACTATTTAATACTGTTAACTTCGCTCAGGCGCCCCCACGTGTTGATGCCGAGAAGCTAAGTTAGCGCAGGCTCTCTTTGATGTTTACAAAGGCCGCGAGGCCTCACATTTGCGCGTGCGCTCCCAGCCAGGTGCCTCCCTGTGGTCCTCAGGTGCCTCTTATGGCTGTTTAAACCCCTTTGTGGTTATGGCTATTCGGCCACCTGGGCTCCCTAACATCCTTGTCAATTTCGCCTCGGTTCAGGCACCTCACAGTCTCGGAAAGACAGAGGTCTGAGGAGCGGCAGATGACACACAACGGTCGCCGTGCTCCACACCAGGGGCTCCTGCATCCCAGCCACCGCTCCAATAAACTCCGGTTACTGATTCTGCCTCCTATCATGGCAAATATGGCGACCGCCGCTAATTCTGTAACAGGTCACGCACTGCCTCATGGGAATTGTGGTTTCACTGCTAGGAAGTTCATGGAATTCTGTTGTTAGGTGCTGCGGAGTTGATTTCGACTCACAACAATCTCTATGTACCACAGAAGGAAGCCCTGCTGGGTCCTGCGCCATCCTCACAATCGTTGCCCTGCTTGAGGCCATCGTTGCAGCCACTGTGTCATCCCATCTCGTTTATGGTCTTCCTCTTTTTCCGCTGACCCTCTGCTCAGCATGATATCCTTCTCTAGGGATTGGTCCCTTCTGACAACTTGACCGAAGTATGAGAGGGGAAGTCTAGCCATTCTTGCTTCTAAGGAGCACTCCAACTGTACTCCTCCAAGACGGATTTGTCCACGGTACATTCACTATTCTTCGCAAACACTACAATTGAAATGCATTGATTCTTCTCATGGAACTGGAATGCTGTATAAACTACAGTTCCCAGAAGCCCAAGAGTCAGCGTTGCAGAAGCAAGGATCAGGATACAATGGGAGATGGAGTTGGGAGAGGTAGTAGGTTTGTTTTGTTCAGTGGTTTTGGTTTGACAGAGGGTCGCGGTTCCAGAGCACTTAACAACAGAGAATTTGTGCTGGTAGGGAAACGTGGTGAAGGAAGTGAAACCGAGTGTGCTGAGCCTAGGGTTGCAGGTTCCAGTTAGAATGAGTTACATAGGAGTTACCATAGGAGGGAAGTAGCTTTGTTAGGGAGGTGTTTTAGGAAGAATACTACTCATTAAACTGTCTGCACATCCCACACAGATTTCTCTTTCACTCCACAGAGGCTGCACTCACAACAGCGCCATCATCACCTGGAACACTCAGTTCTTGTCTTTTTCCTGTTCAAAAGAATTTTCTGCTATTCTGGAAATGTTCTGTACTTTAACACTGTCCAATACCTTAGCATAGTGCCTAAGGCATTTGACTGCTAACCAGATGGCTGGCGGTTCAAACCCACCAGCCACCCCTTGGAAGGAAGGCTGGGAAATCTACTTCCATAGTGATACTGCCTTGGAAACCCAAGAGGGCTCTCTATGAGTCAGATCTGACTCAACGACAGTGAGTTTGGTTTTTTTGAGTCTGTGACTGACTACTGAACACGTGACATAAAATGCCAAGGAAGAACCGAGGTTTTAATTGAATTTTATTAATTACTTTTTAATTAAATTTAAAATACTGTGGCTACCGGCTACCTTATTGGACAATGCAGTAAATTGGACCCCTGGGCAACGTTCAATACCAACAATCACCCCCTTGCTTTTTGAGACTCATACTTGGTTTGTTTTTTTTTTCCTATCTACTTACTACTCTTACTCAGTCTTTGCAGATTCCTCTTCCATTATTTATCCTTTGAAAATTTAAAAATTAATTTAGACTGCAAAAATCTGCACTGCTATAACATACTACAGAAACACACTGTTCTACATCCTACTTTGGTGAGTAACAACTGGGGTCTTAAAACCTTGCAAATGGTCATCTTGATGCAACAATCTTTCCTCCAGAGTGAAGAAGAATGGGAAAACAAAAGATGCATGGAATCAGTTAGTCCAAAGGACTAGTGGACCATGCGAACCTCAGCCTATATGACCATGAGGCCAGAAGAACTAACTAGTTGGTGCCCAGCTACCACTGCCAACCACTTGGAAAGGGATCAGTGCAGGAGATATTGGATACAGTGGGAGAACAATGTGGAACAAAACTCAAAATCATAAAAAACATCAGGCTTACTGGTCTAATAAGAGTCTGATGAAATCCCCAAGACCATGGCCCCTAGTTAGCCTTTAGGCCTGGAATTGAACTGAATCCTGTGGCTTCCAGCCAAACAGTAGACAGGCATGTAGTGAACACTTACACTAGGTAGATACACTCCTTAGAACAATCAATCACGGGAGAACAGAAGGGCAGTATTTGCACAGGGAGCTAGCTCAGGGAGCAGGAATGCAAAGGAAGGAAGAACACAGGGAAGAGATAATACAGGGAGGATGTGGGAAGAGAGCTGTTAACATTGTGGGGATTACAGTCAATGTCATGAAATAAAATATGAATGAACTACTGTATGGAAAATGAATTTGCTCTGTAAAATTTCACTCAAATCACAATAAAAATTAAATAAATAAATATATATTTAAAGAATCTGTTCTGTTATTCTTCAGGCTGGGATAACAGACACAGATAAAGCCAGCTATTAAATCAACTGAAAATAATATTTTTCCCAAGGATATAAGGAGCCCTTGTGGTGGAATGGTTAAAGTGCTCAACTGTTGACCAAAAAGGTCAGTGGTTTGAACCCACTAGCAGCTCTGTGGGAGAAAGATGTGTCAATCAGCTTCCATAAAGATTTATAGCCTTGTAAACCCTGTGGGGCAGTTCTACTCTGTCTTACTTTACCAAAAAAAAGAAAACACCAAACACACTGCCATCCAGTTGATTCTAACTCATAGCAACCCCCATTGGGTTTCTGAGGCAGCAAATCTTTACGGAAGTAGACTGCTCAGTTTTGCTTCCATGAAGTGGCTGGTGGGTTTGGACCACCAACCTTCTAGTTAGCAGTCAGATGCCTTAGGCACTGTGCTACCAGAGCTGTGCTACCAGAGCTGTACTACCAGAGCTCCTTGTCTTACTCTACAGCAGTGGGTTTTTTACAATTGTGATTTGGGTAAAAGTTTAGAGAGTAAACTGCCTTTCCAATACACGTTCTGTTTTGAGACATGCACTTCAATCCCCATGATACAACAGCACTCTTGTCACTTTCTCCTCTCGCCATCCTAGTTCTATTCCTCGGCAGATGCTTCCCTCTTGATTTCGTATGGTTGACTGTTGTAATAAGTGCATGTCTTCCTGGTATCACTGTTCTTTCATAGGTCTATTATTTGGCTTAAAGTTGAGCCGTGGGGGTTGCCATAATCTTGGGATTTCTACCACTCTTCATTAGACCAGTAAACCTGGTCTTTTTAAAATTTTTTATTGTGATTTGGGTGAAAATTTACAGAGCAAATTCACTTTCCATACAGCAGTTCACATACACTTTGTCTCATGACATTGCCTACAATTTACCGCAATGCAACAGCTCCCCTCCCACTTCCTCCATGCACTCCTGCCCTCTGAGCTGTCTCCCTGTACATAAGCAGCCCTTCTTTATCCCATGATTGTTTTCTCCAAGGAGTGTATCTACCTCAGGTAAATGTTCAACTCCTATGCCTGTCTTTTGTTTGGCTGGAAGCCACGGGCGGGGCGTGGGTTCAATTTTAGACCTG